TGTTTTCCTTCATACCAGAGTGGTAACAACAGATGCATGGCACTTCTCATTAAGTCAGAAGTAGAAATAGGGCTGAGAATTCCCATTTTAGGCTCCCACTACATTTCTCTCATTTGCTCTAAAACAAAAAAGAACTGAATTCTGCAAAGACACTTGGGATAACATTCTTAATCATTAATGCATGTATTTATGTGTAGTTCTACTGTTACAGATGTAAGAATTCTATCATTTCAATCAAAATATGTTCCAAGGGCTTATGACCATCTTTATCAATTACATAACTGATTTTAATTATTCTGATTTCAAGTTCCAGTCCTTAAATGCCATGTCACTTTTCTCTCCTATACTGATAAATAGTATCTTTTTGTGTGACCTGACATAAGTCCAGTACTTCCTCGCATTTCTTATAAACCAAAACATAGTCCCTTACATCTCTTACTGAAAGATCTTGACATTAGGTTATCAAATAACTGGGGGAAGGGCCTTTTTCTGAGTCCTTCCCAATTCCCTCAATATTCTTTTTAAATGACGATGCTAACAAATCTGGAGCTGCAAACTATTGGTCTTGCTGCATGTATTCAGTGTTTAGTGTTACCTACACATCCAAAATTAGATTAGCTAGTTCCTTAAAACACTGTGTAGGAGATTACATGTATTTCTTGTCCACCCTTCTAGGACCCCACATTTCCAGCACGTAGTCTTAACCTCCTACAAGTGTAGCTTGAATTCTTTGTTCAAAATGTGTAGTTTAACCATAACATTTTTTGGACATGTCCTGCTTGCCAAGCAATCCACATTAATCTGTCCTTTATGTTCTTTACTTTTTTTCCTAACCAGCATCACTACAATTTTTAAAAACTGTATTTTCTTCAGGGTTATGGAAGAAAACATTAAAAAGAAGTACAATCTTACTTGATCGTAAGCAGCTATTTAGTCAGTGATAACACCACAAAAACTATTTTTGGTTTAGCAGTAAACAGTTAATAATCCTTTAACATACAATCTGCTGATACTGTAAAATACGTATTAAAAATCAGAATAAGATGAAACAGAAAAACCCTAAAGATGCTGAAATATATCCATTGTTTCCTTAATTGTCTAACAAGTGGCACTCTCCTCCCATCTGCATTTGACAGATGTGTTCTGTACTTTGTCATTAATAATTAACCTTCCAGGCTTTTAATTTTCTTTTAGCTGTTTCCTTCAACAGGTTTTCTGAGGTTCAAGGCTGATCTCAGACTGTCTAGACCACATTTAGACAGTATTTCCTCACATCATTTTGAAAATTGGCACTGTAGCATTATTTTAGTCTGTAAGAATTTACTCGAGGTTCATTGAAAATCAGCATCAGAAATGTAGAGATCCACTCTCTACCTAGCATAAAGTACCTGGGCTGTCTGTTTTAAGAGAGTTAAGCTTCAAGTATGTGTTTAACCTTCTTTAACAAATTCATTTATGTTTACAGAAAAAAGAACATGAATCTTGCCCAAAGTCTGCAACTTCACTGTCTTTTAACATGCTTCAATGTAGAAACTTTCCATTCTGCTCTGACCAGCCCTCCTGATAGGTTAGGGTTGGTATCACTGCAATATTTACAGCGATGTACCATGACGTGTACACAGCGACATGTTAAAAGAAGATCAAATCTTTGAGCCTAAATTTGGATTTCAACCTGTTCAAAACTCCAAAAATTTAACAAACAAAAGAGGTGTTAGCAGAACAAATAAAAGCACTTGTAAAGATACTACACTGGTGGTTTTTGATAAACAGCAGTCTCTCTTCTTTATTCTCTGCCATGTCAGGACATTCTGCCTTTATCACAGCAAAACTGTGAATCAGTAATCATCATTTTCTCTGCCTAATGTTTCACTTGTTAGTGCTGACGTACCCTGAACGTCTCTGGGGACAACAGCTCTCCAACTGTGAGAGGAAGACGCAGCTAAATGACAACCATCATCATGTCGATGAGAATTACCACCATAACCACATGTTGGAAGTAGGAAACACCTGTGCGTGTCGGTTGTTGCCCTTCTTCATTCTGCTCTCAGCATCACCTGTATTTCTGCTTCTTAAAAACCTCATCCTAAAGGCAGACAGTCTTCACTTCTACCTGCTCATCTAACTACCTTTTCCATCGCAGGAGTTTGGTAATTTCTGATGGCTTCTGCAGATGAGCTGAGCTTCCATTCTTTTTCTGCTGAGTCCTTAGTACACAGGCAAGCCAGATGACCTGCTCGCTAGTCTGTTCAGGATACTGATGTATGGTATTTTCCAACGTGTTTATTGTTTTCTTTTCCTCTCCCTTATAGTATCCATATGGCAATTCATGCACCTCAGTTCATCTCCAGTCCAGTTCCTGCTCAAAGTATGGTCAGCCACAAGGTCAGACTACACTGTTTAGGGCTTTCATCCTGTCTGGTCTTGAAAACCCTAAGGATGGAGTCAGCACAACTTCCGTGGGCAACCTGTTCCACAGCTTGACCATCTTAAGTTCTTCCCTAAAACCAGTTGGAAATGCTCTTGTTTCAGCTTTTGTGTGTTGTTTCTCATCCTCCCACCATGCACCACTGTGGACTGACTCCATCTTTGCAATAACCTTCTCACAGTACTGGAAGGCTGCTATTAAGTCTCTTGAGGCCACCTCTTCTTCAGGCTGAACAAGCCCCTCTCTCCCAGCCTCTCCTCATACAGCAACTATTCCAGCCTCCTGAGCATCTTGGCAACCTTCCAGAATCCATGGAAGCTCAAGGAGGAATTAAGAGACCAAAAAAAACCTTGGAAAAATCTTAAATCCCAAATTTAGAAAATAATGACATTAAAAGTTGCTGCTCTCATTGTGCTGTCTTGGCTTTGCTTTTCCTGATAAATGAATAACAATTAAGGTAAAGCTCAGTATCACTTTAGAAAAAGAGTAAAAGATAATACACTGTTCCCAGGATTTATCTGCAGGACTATTTCAGAGATATCTGCAGAGTCACTTTGCAACTTTCCCTTTTCTTCAGATCACAAGAAAGCCCTGACAAATGAAAGGAGTAACAGTACATCCCTTCCTTGTCATGTTTTTCCTGAACTGAGCCCTTATTGCCATTCTCATTACCTTTATAATTTTTTCATCTTTCTAGAGAAGTCTAGTTTCTATCTCCTTACAGTATTTTCTACTTCCACAGATTTCCTCAACTATTTCCTGTTCCATTATTTCCTCTTACGTTCTGTTCCTGCTTTCGAACTCCTTTTTACATCTGCACGTGTGGTACCACCCTTTTCAGATACCAGAACCATATAGGTTAGAGTTATCTCCCACTTTCCAGTTCCTTTCATGCCAGGCCCCATGTTATTATATCTGCTCTATTGTTCTATGCATTCCTCCCCCTCCCCTCCCCCTTTTTTTTTTAAATTAAGGTTCTATCAGTAGTCTTTTTTTGTAGTCTGACTAGTCTTCTCTTGTTTTCTCACTCCTTCTTCCCATCTTACACCTTCTTCTCTTTTTATGTTTCCCTGTAAAGACTCTAAGTTTCAATCTGTTCTTTCTTTTCTGGTTCCCTCCCTCCTCCTCCTCCTCATCCTTCAAGTCTCCTTTCTTCATTTCCACCTCCTCCCTCACCACTCATCTCTCTTCTCTTTTTTCCCCTCCTCCTTCACCTAAACTCTATGATCAGGTAACTGCCTAAAATCTAGCACGTAATTAAAAATTTAATAAGACTCTCTTGTTTGATTGTTGCTTTCACTAGCAGAACTCTCCTGAAACAAAGGTAATATAGATTAATTCCCCCAAACCACTCCAAAGCTGCTTGTTTAAACTCTCAAATTCAGAGTTTAAACTCTCATTTCAGAGATTCATCAGCAACAAAAAACAAAGTAATGTCTTTTGAAATGTAAGTTTTGCCACACTTTCAATCCCATCTTGACATTGTGTCTCATCTGAGGTCTATTCCACTGATAAGAACCAAAAGGAAACTGTCAGATGCTTTCAGCCTTCCTTACCTAACAGCCCTGTACTCACTCTTTGCAGGTAAATCTCGGATCATACACTGGAGATTTAGAAGGGAAGGGAAATCTGGAATAATCCCCTTGGACTTCAAAAGTTCTTTGATAAGTATTGTTTGGCTCTGCAGATAAAACTGGCATTTAACAGCAAAGATAATTTGAATCGGCTGACTCAACTGCAACAAGAACCTTGCTTCCAGCATTAGCAGTGCAAAGAATGACATCTTCAGTGAGAAGCAAAGTATTCAATTAGCCTCCTTAAATGGTTGTCCCAGGCCCATAAAATTAAGTAATTTGTTTGGTTCACTGATACTACAACAAGATCTGATACAATTGGAAAACATTCACTGCATATCAACAGCTCTGTAGTAAGCACCCACATCCCCTTACCACAGATGATTTGTTCAAGGCATAATCCCTCAGAGAAAAAACACATAACACACTTCATATTTACCACAGGGTTTAAGCGCATCCAGAAGCCCTTACCACAGACAGAGCAGTTTTTAGACTGTAAGTTGTCTTTGCAGCAACTCCCAGGAGCTTGTGGAAGCAACAAATCCCAACTCTGATAGCAGCCTGCAGTGACTGAGCCAGCTTGGTAACCTGTGCTTTCAGGTGAGAGCAGATGTGATCTAAGCATATGGAAAGTAGATGGAAACTTGTTCTGAGGACATCGGAACACATGACAGAAAGCCAGGATTGAAGAATATGGGATGAAAAGTTAGGACAGTAAGCGTTAGATTTTAAACAAAGAAGCTGGATTGGAGGAGTAAGATTGGCCTGACACTCTGAGGAGCAACAGGAGACATGAAAGAAGAGAGTATACTGGGCAAGACATTGCTGTTTGCATCGTAAGTTACCAAGAGCTCCAAGGACAAATTACTAAATCACAGAAAAAAACCTGGGCCCTCTGTAGTTCAGATGCAGTATCCTGAGACAGTTAATTCTAGGTCTTGTGGTGAGAGGAAGTGAAATGTTCTAAAATAACCCTAAAATTAGAAAAACCACAGAGCTTGTTAAAAATGCCCATGCGCGTTTTATTAATAAAAACTAACAGTGCCAAGGTTAAACAAGTCAAACAATTATAGTCTCTTTATATTCCATAAAATATTACAGAAAGTTTATTTGTGTTTCAATAAAAAGACTACTGTCTTAGAATAGGCAGCTGACAGTATTTGTGCAGTTAATTGTTTGTGAATAAATTTAAAAAGACTACCACCTGCCCTGAAATTCCTTTTATAAAAATGAACTATTAAAAATGATTGACAAATTTTGAGTTAAAAAACTTAAAACATTCTCTATATTTAATTTCAACTTTATAATAGATTACAGGAAGATGCTTATGAAACAAATACAAACATTTGTTTCAGTACATGTCTTTATATGATAGACTTATAAGTATGTAAACAACTATATAATAAAAAGTTTCCAAAGTCTGCCTGTAAGAAATCAGGCGAATTTTTCCATAAGCAATAAATCATTCCAAACCTTCAAGACATTTTATATAGCTGCACCAACTGGCAGTAAACATTTGCCAAAAACTTTGTAATTCATATGTCCCAACATACAGTGAAAAGTATATAAACTTGACGGAATCATGTTAGATATAATTTAAAGGGAAAATAAGTTCACAACAACATTTCTAGAATTTAACATGTAAAAAAGTAGGATGTATCTTTCTTGTTTGGTTCTTTGGACACTGCATGATTAACAAAAAACGCTACTACATTAGCTCACTATCCCTCAAAAAGTGGCATCATCAAAATACACTCCAAATAAATTGCCATTCAGTGTATTCATTTTCCACAGAAGGATAGCATTTTATTTCTCAATGATGTGTCTACATTTTCTTTAGCAAACTTCGCAAGAACATTTGGGGCAAAATCCATTTTCCTTCAAGTAAAAAAAAAAACCAACCAAACCCAGCCAAACAAAAAACAACCAACAAACCAAAAACCCCTAAAACAAGAGTAAATAAAGGCTCTGCATTAACACACTGGTATCAAAAACACACATCCACACCACGTTTAAAAATATCCTACATAAAACAATCCTTGTTTGCTTATCAGAGGTGCAATTTCTAAACTCAGAACTGCTTACCAATATTCTCCTTGAGGGATGGGGCAAAGTAATTTGAGACTCTTCTCCCTAGAACAATTTATTCCTGAAGCTTGCTGAATTTTAACAAAAAATAGTCTACAAGCAAAGGGCATCAGTCGTCATCATCATTTTCATTAAAATCGTCATCGTCGTCGTCATCGTCCCCAACATAAGAAACTGGTGTTTCAACTCTGGAGCCACTGTACTGAGATCCATTGGAACTTGTAGCCAACATCCCATCTCCACCATTGGAAAAATCACTGGGGGGGGGGGGGGGGCATAAATAAAAAAGAAAGAAGACACCATTTGGCATTGCTTAATGATTCTTCCCAGTTTACTGTGCTCTTAAGATATAATAATGTATCTATTCCATTCCTTTAATGAATCTGCCACTGCTACTTCATGAACTGTCTTTAATAAACATCTAAGTTTCTCAAAAGCAGAAATAGTTCAAATAATTTTGAAATGCTTCTTACTATGTTTCTTCTTCCTTTAGGTTTAATATAAAGATTAAATCCTTTCACAGGCACCTTAGAAGTATGCTTTCCAGGTTTCTTCTAAAGAACAGTTAGTGTTAAGGTTACACATCTACTTAAGCCCTTTCGTATTTTTATGTAGCACTGGACACTTGCATCACAAGTGAATCGTGTCTTTCAGGAGCACTAGTTTTGATTCAAAGACTTGGAAAATGGAGGAGTTAGTAACTTCTCCTTAATTCCTTGCTATTACATGACAAACTATCATTGCTACACGTGTTGTATTTTTAACTTGAAACTGTTTTACTCTTATGCTTTTATTTTCTAGTTTAAAAACAAAACAAAATAAATCCAACAAAAACCTCTTTGGTTCCTCATATTCTTCCCTTTGTGAGTATCCCTATACTGAAAATTCACCTCCTCGACCAGCAAGTAGATTTAGATAATATCCACTTTCTTACTTGAATGTGTTCTTTTTCCACCAAAATACACAGATACATGTAGACAAGGGGTCTGAAATGTCTTGTTCTCGATGAGTTAACTGTATCCAGAAGTATTTTATTTTAATAGAGCTACAACACTGCTGCCTCCACCATTACTTGCTGTTTTGCCAATCTTTTTTATTTACTTTCTATTAAATTTAGTTACAAATTCTTGACAAAATGTTTTTCTAAAAATCACAGAAATAGTATCTCCAACTTGAAAGACATTCATCACTAAAAAAATGCTTTAAAAAATATGTTTGCTAGTGATTTTTTAATCCAGTTAATGCACATAATCAATAAGGCACACTATTGTTGTATGGAGCTAACGCAATGGTTTAGAAGTTTATCATTACACAGAATGAAACAGCAGGGGCCTACCCTAGAAGCTCACAAGGAAAACATATCCAGTAAGACACTTTCAAGAGTCTCTGCTACTCTGCACACTTATTCAAAAGGAAGATACTAAGATGTCTAGCTGTAGTTAAGAGTTTGATAACAGATTCTTCGTAATTATCTGCAGAAGCAGTTTCAAAAACAAAGAAAAAAAATGGAGATTACTCTTGTGTCCCTGTGAACTTTGAAAGTACAAAGCCAAAAACCTGTCTCCCCTGCCTCTTTTTGATAAAAATGGAACTGGATTTCATTAACTTGAGTATCCTAGTAAGACACAGAAAATGGGATGAAGGCATTGGTAGCAGCATCTTCAAGCTCCTGCAGACTTTCTTTAGAGAGCTTGCTAAATGAACTTACATCCTTTATTCGCCTTGGCAGCAATTTCTGGTACCAGAAAAGCTACACATCTTGTAATTACTATTGCCATGAATATTTATAGATGTACTATAATGAAACGCAAGTTGTTACTCCCCTTTTCCAACCTCCTATTAAACTGAAGTGGCAAGAGCTCCTGTGCTTCTCACTAAGATGATGAGCTACAGTCAGCCTCTAGTTTCCTATTGGCCTCTGGCTAGAAGTGGCCTACTGAAATTTCAAAGTGTTAAAAATACACGGGCTCTTTTTCACCAACACCATATTCATTATCACAGAAGAAACTTTTGTGAAAACAGGAGATTTAATGTACCAAATTCTGCTTCTCTAAAGATATTTTGGCAGTATTCTCATTCAAGCTTCAGTTCCCTAGCACAAAGCAGTCAGAATTCTCCACAC